TTTTTTTTTTTTTTTTTTTTTTTTTAATCAGTGTCTCCCTCCAGAATTAGGAAGGAGAAAGACAAGGTAAAATAGGAGAAACCTTGCCAGTTGCCTTGAAAGCTTTTACAAGTGAGGGGCTGAAAGTAAATCAAGTGAAGTTTTCAATGTTGGGAGACATTTTGCTTTCCATACCCATTAATGAGTGTCTAATAATGTTTTATTTGCTTTAAAAGGACTTCCAAGCTCTAATCACAGAGTTTATTTCTTTTCCAGAAAGAGGATGCTAGTGCTGTTAATAAGAAAAAAGGCTTTGAATCAAGGTCATATGATTTCTAACAGATTATTTCCCGCACAACATGTTTTTGTCTCATAGCAACAAATCATATTAAAATCACTAAGGGGTGTGGGCTAAGTGTTTGATTAGCTGTAACTTTCATTTCTGAAATGGCCACCGGTGGTAAAAAGTTACACCGGTTTATGTGAGGAAATGAAAATGATCCACCTCATCGATTTTTAAAATTAGGGTACTGATATGCTGTCCTTTTATTGTTTAAAACAAAGAAACATTGAATATCAGAGGGTCAATCAAACACAAGATCTCCCTTTTGTAAGTGGAATTTGACTGATTTTTGTCTGGACTTTGGCTAGTTGTGTGGAAAAGTTGCTAAATAAAAACTATCAGGTAAATGAATATCTGCTCAAGTTTTAGTCATTCTGGTCCATTATTATGACCAACGCTCACTAGTTTAGTTGAGTACTATATATATAATAACGGCTAACATTTATTGATCACTTGCTACATACAAAGTGCTATTCTAGGTTCCTTTATTCAGGATTATAGAGTTTTCTGTTTTCCTAAGGAAGTTTAACTCTGAATAAAATCCAAATTCCTCACCACAGCTCTTGCATCCTTGATCTTCTGGCATATCATTCTCTTTCTGCTTACCCTGCTGTGGCCCTGCTCGCTTGCTTTTGGTACCTTAACAACATCAAACTCCTTATTTCTTTGACCTTCTCATCTTTTAGGTTTCAGCTCAAATGTGTCCTCAAAGAAACATTCTCTGGCCACCCTATCTATTAATGTTTGTTCCAACACCCAGTTATTTCTTTTATTGCACTTATAGTTTGTCATTTTGTTTGCTGATTTCTACTTCTTATCTGTCTTCCCAGTAGACAGTGAACCCCATGATGACAAGGACCACATGAGTTGTATTCACCACTGTACACCTAGCACCTAGCAGATGACCTGGCAAATATTCGTTGAATAAATTGATAAATGAATGGATAGTTCTGTTTCCAAATTCTATTAACCTCCCTGCTTTCCTTCCATCCCAGACAATTAAAGGTGGCCTTTCCAAGGCTTGAGATCATAAATACTACTCATGATTCAGGATCACTCCTTTCCTCAGGAAGTAGAGAACAGATTTCTTTTTATTCGGTCAACAAATATTT